TTCGTCTGACGAGTCGCCCCCTGCTGGCCATTACAAAGAACATTTCATCTGTCCCACTTGGGGACTACACCTCTATCTTTATTGTCCCATTTTTTAATGCAAAGAGGGTTACATATAAAGCTTGTTTACCTCATGAATGAGATAGACCTTGGCCCCCACATAAATGCCCATCCTGGTCACAGCTCGGACGGCAGCATTCATCCCTAAATCAAGGACAAAAAGTGTTAGATCTTCCTCTTCTTGGGTCTTTGCACACAGGCTGTTGCATCACAGCTCTGCATGGGGCAATCAAACGGTAAGGTGGGTATGACTTCATTATCTGTTATCTTCTCTGACCGCAGCAATAGACAATGGGAGGCTTTGATTAGTCAGAAACAAATACACTGTGTAAGTTCAAACGGGAGGCAGAAGGGTCTAGCCTTTAAGAAGCACTAACATTGAAGTGTTTTACACCCCTGAAAATGCTTATAAATGGTAATGTGAAGGCATAAAGCATGGGCATACAACCACTTCTTAAAGTACTGCTATTATTCCACAATAGTGCATTATGTTGGATTGGCTTAGAATTACTGATGTACGAATGCAAACATCAGATTATTGCTGCAGCAGGTAAAGTAAACAAGTATTACTATAAACTCGTAGTTACTGTATGACCTTTGATCCCTAATCATCCAGCTGCTATTCCGAGCTGACTAGCTGCTGTCACCTCAGCCCTCGACCTAGCCACATTTTCCCACCACACAAACACGGGTTTACAGCCACACATATACGTTCGAGTTGTGAGGTCACCTTGTGCATCTCCACCGCTGGTCAGCACTGCCATGGCCCGACCAGCGCACGTCATCTTCAGCTTCTCCAAGTCCATCAAAGACATTTTTAATCTCTTCTCCTCGCAGCTACAAAAAAAAAGAGAGAATTTGAAAAAATAAAACCCGTTCGCTGGGAGAGTAAAATTAGCTCTTAGTGTCTTGATCCTAGGGAATCTAGCTGCCTCTTCCTCGTTTGCAGGTTTCTCCTCAGCAGATCATAACTTCCAGCGGTGACACCCACAATATACAGCTGAGGGATGTTTGCTCTTTTCACCCGCTCCGCCCGGAGCTGCGGTTTTCTCCACTGGCTCGTCTTCGAGAATCTCCGCCTTCTCTCTGAGCCCCGAGGTTTGAAACCGAAGGAAGTGCAACCAGCACGTACACCACGGGCAGGTATCCATACCGGAAGAAGGCGCAATCAGTGGAATAATACAGCAGCAGAACAGAGCATGTAAAACCTCAGGTCTGAAGATGTTAACGAAGTAACTTTGAGAGCCTGCCTATCCAACAGGAAGGAGAAGAGCTGGTTTAAAAGCCAACACAGTAATATTTTATAGTAAAAAAATAAAAGTATACAAACTTCTGGGTATAATAAAGTATACAGTGTAGCCTCTCATTCGTCTGTATTCCAAGCTTTGTCATTCTTAAAATTTTTCTTCAGACATTTTCACCCCCTCCCCTCCCCTTTTTTAACCTGCCACTAAACACTGACCTATGACTCATCCAACTTATCAAAGAACCATTTTTTAAATTAAAGAGCATGACAAATAACATCATTTGATCACATTTATTTAGCCTAATTTATGGAAAATGCTAATGATAGCACAGTTTGACAGACCTAAAGTGTTTTTGTACCATAGAGGTCACTCCCAGAGAAGTTTTAGCTGAAAACTTGGCATATCTATGCAAGCTGTGCAGTGTGTCGTGAAAAAATGTGGGGAAACGGGACAAGTAGAGGACAAAAAAGGAAGTTCAAGCTTAAAAAAAACATTTAAAAGAAATACTATTTAATTATACTATATAATATTGTCAACAAATTATTCTTAAGGTGGGGAAACGCTGAATTACGCCAAAAATACTCAAGAACTGGACTGAAAATGAGTGACAAGAAGTCTGATGGAGTGAAGAAGCTGAAACTTTTGGTTCAAATTAATGTCAATATGTACGAAGGAGGTCAGGAGAGCTCTTCAACAGCGAGTGCCTATAGCAGTCTGTTGTTGTTTGGAGCCGTATTTCAGCCAGTATGTTGGGGATCTTGCCAAAAGTGATGGAATTATGAACACAGAAAAACACCACCAGATTTTAACCTACCATGAAGTAACAGCTAGAAGATTTCTTATCCAATGGTGGAAAAAAAAAAAAATCATACCTGGATTGGAAAACTCACAATGGAACATCATCATTCATGAACTCAGCTTGGCTTTTATTTTACTTCATTACTATTCCTGAAGACTGGTAATACCTAATAGAGTTCAGGCCGTGTTGAACAATTAATGTGAAACACTGAATTGAACAAGCTTCGTTTTTGTCTTGTATACTTTATATATTCAGTGAACATTTGCACATTTCAATAAATAAAGAAATGAGGAGTGGCTTAATACTTTCACACAGGAATATACATGCATTTCTGTCTCTCAAGATCGATCGATCGATCTATCTCATAAATGAGATCTAGATAGATATTTATGGAACATTTATGTGTTACCAACAAATAGCTGAATTCTGCTTTTTTGTAACAAAACAGCAAAACAGGTAGATCTTTGAAGAAAGGATTGCATCCGTTTTCAATTTTCTTCAGAAAATATGCAGCGTGGCTTTTGCACACACACAGCAAAAAATAAATAAATAGAGAGCACAATAAAAGAAGCACTAAAGAGTAGGGGACAAACAGAAGAGCCAGACCACAGAGGTTTGGGTACAGTACAGCATTTATTCCATGCAGTTGTTTGCGCTGATTTAATTCTCCCAGTTACTCGTTGCACTGTACACTGGATAATACAGGAAATTGACAGGATTGGTTGATCATAATGCCTTTCAACAGGAAAGAGGATAGAAACAAGAGTAACAAAGAAACATGAGTCCGATAACACAGGACGAGGCAACAGGATGTCCACAGTTAGAGAGACGATTTCACAGAAATTTGAATGCAAGTTGTTTTTTTTTTCCAGTAAGAATGAGAGGAAGTGGGGGTCACCGCAGATGTACTGAGGTCAGCATCGTGCATCCCTCCAGGCTTTACGCCTCATTTACACTGCGGAGACAGCCCACTGACTGACTTATGTTTGAAAGTGGTTCCTAACAACCTACAATGAGATAATTACTGATGTAAAGTCTGCTAAATCAAAGCTAAATGACGAATGGTCCCCTGCAGGGTCAACGTGATGATGCTTTTGTTCAACCACACACACAAATACTGTCCTCTTCCCTGACCAATTCATTGTGCTTCCTTGAAATAATACTTTCCAGGAGAGAAGTCGTAGATCGTGACATTTCTGAAGCTGCCTGAAATTAAAAAGAACACTACTCCTCCTCACCAGTCATCCAAAATAAATTAAATTCAACAATCATGTAGGCCAGCTACAAAGAAAAAAAAAAGATCAAAATTAAATTAAAACTGCACAACAATCATACTTCACAGGATATACGCCAGAAAGATAATGTTATTAACAGCTTGATCGGATTACCCTGTCATTACAACACGCTGGGTTATTTCACACGAACGTAAACAAGAGTGAAGGAGGAGGTTCGAGGAAAGGCAGAAGGTGTAAGCCTTTCTGAAGCTGAGGAGCAAAAGGCAGTCCGTCCATCGGCGTTAATAATCACCTTGTGCTGCTCAGGTTTATGACTCACACCCTCCTGTAGTGTTCAATACTGATGTGGGGACAGACTTAAAGAGTTCCCTGCTCAACCAGTCCGCTGGTCATCAAGCTCGAGGCTTTGCCAGAGCTGTGCAATGACAAAGAGAGAGAGGGAGGGAGGGAGGCGATAATGGATCACATGACATTTACAGATGTTTATGTACAGGAGTAACACTGAGATGAGGTTGCTGAAAACCGAGAGCAGCCCGGTGCTCCGTGGCCTTGTCTCTGGCTTATGTTCCTTTATATGCAGAATCTCAGCCGTCCGCACACGCTCGAGCCGGCGGCTTGACATCATTATCGTTAAATTCAAACTGGCTGGCTGTTTGTCAGCTTGAAGATCAGATCAGTGAGGATGATGACAGAAATGGGGCTTATTAAAAGCAAAACAAAAGAGAGCTCTCTCACAGATGCAGTATCCCTTTTCAGCGACAACCAGAGAGGTAAAAAGTAATATTGCTCTGGATAACCATCAGGAATTAAAGGAATTAAATGATGTTAGTCAGAAAAAGGGATGAGTCAGGTTATTTACATAACACAAGCCTAACTGTCGCCATCTAGTGGCTGCCCATATATTGCTCTTGCACAAAACCTGAACATCCTAAGCAGCAAAGACATGGCCACAAAAACGGGGCATTTTAACAACGATCTTCAGAAAAATTCAGAGAAAACTCTTTCTGCTGGACGAAGAAACGCAAAACAAAAAACATCAGCGCTTTTAATTTCACATATTTACTTGGCAGCAAAATGTTTTGAATCTAGTCTTTATCATACCGTTTAGCAGCACAGGGTTAGTCATTTTATCACCTTTCACAGAAACACAAAATAAAGATTCCCTCTGATCACATGTTTAAAGATTGCTTTTAGGAGAAGGGTTAGCTCTGTAATCGTGAGATTTTCCATGCATGTATATGGAGTTTACAGGTATGGCTGTTATATGCTAAAACATACCAAGTGCATCACCATCTCATCTTCCTGACTGTGGACGGTCACACAACTTGTCATTAAAGAGAACATTTTCTTTTAAGGCTTTTTCCTCATATTTTTTTTTTTAACTTTAAAACATGCATGTTTAAAACGTGCATGTTTGTGTGAATTGGAAGTCTTTGGAAAAAAATGTAACTCTAAAGTGCGAAACATCTCACCATTACACAAAAATTCTGAAACCACCCGTGGTATGTGCTAAAAGCCGCAAAGCTGATTAGACTGTGCGCCACACTAAAGATCGGAGATGGCCTGAAAGCTGCAGGGAAAGACCTCAAACCAACCATGCATGCATTTTATCTGCTGAAGACACAACTATAAACCCACAAACAAAAACGACGTCATCGCCAGGAACAGATTCTTGACAAAATATTAAAATAAGCATTTAACTTATGATTTTTCTAAATTTGAGCCCCATGTGGAGTTTGCATGTTCTCCCTGTGTTGTCTCTGCGTACGCAGGCTTCAGGTTCGGTTAACAGGGGATTCCTAACTAGCTGTAGGTGTGAAATGCGAGGCTCCAGCCTCCCAATCACTCTAAATTGAATAAAGAGAAGGAACTGGATGGATGGAGATTTGAGCTCTTGCTTTTTCAAACCTTTGATTGCACTTTACTACGTGCACTAATGTTCCAAGTTATTAGGAAGAAGTGTAGCATTTATTTTGATTTTGAATCATAAATGAATAAACCATCCAGATTTAAGTAGGTGTGTGTGCTGAGGAGGACAGAGGACATTAGGTAACCATAAGCCTAGATTTTTTCAGATTTTTTAAATAATACATTTTTAGTTTGGTCTATATGCTTCTTAACCCCTTATCACAACACATGACAAAATAATTTTCATCTTTCAGGAACCATTTGAATTTTCTCTCAGGCGAAATCAGTTGAGGAGTGCACATAGTAACATCTCGGCTTAGTTGGTTTTACTGTCCGTGTTCAGCCATCAGTACCTTGTGAATGCTTTGTGGTATCGAGATACAACAAATATCCCTGTGAAGCTTGTGATCCCTTCTTTCTGAAACCCTTTGAATTGTGTCTCTGGCACAAACAGTAACACAATTACGGTCGTTTAAAGAGCTCTTCTAAAAGGGCCCTGCAGCTGGGCTGATGGTGAAAAGAGTTAAACTGATAAATTATTAAACATGTGATCAAAGGCACCTGTATTTGCATGTGTTTGGTGAAAAAGGATTAACCAAGAAACTCTTTAACTATTTGGGACTACATATGGAAGTATTTTAAGAAAAAAAAAAAAAAATCTGGCCTACAAGATTCACACTTTGAATGTGAATGGATTAGTGTTTATTTAAGTATGTTAAGTGCCTTAAAGGAAATTCTAAAATCCCACTCTGGACTTAAAAAAAATAGCCTCTATAAGCAGCTCTTTGACACCTGCTGCTCTCCGCTAGCTACCAGTCACTGTGCTCGTGTCTAGCCAGCTAGACATGCAAGATCCTGAACAAGCGACTTCTTTCTCACTCGTGTTATTGCTGTTATAATTCGCAAATAATCACCATTTTGGACATTGGCATAATCCACCCTGCTAGAAAATGATCAGTGGAACATGCCGAACCTGAAGATTTCAAGAAATGGGATACTGCACCTGGATGCCTTGTCTCCACATCACATTAAAGTCTGTTACAGCAATAAAACGTTGAACATCAAGGCTATCTGTAAGACCTTTCCGAGTATTTCTGCATGGTCCTTAATATGTGCCGCTCAAAAAAAAAAAAAAAAAAAAAACAACCAAAAAAAACCAAAAACAAAACACATTCCTTCATATAATTGGTCCAGTCCAGTTTCACAGTCCTTGAACGATCCTGAGATGAGACTTGTAATGTCTAATGGAGAGGAAAGGGCTTTGTGTTGTCACACTCACATTCACTCACACTCTCACACACAGATAACTCCCTCAGTAACTCTGCCTGTGACATCTGATTGCTGATGACGATGACGTTGGCATGTCTTTAAGAGAAGGACGAGCAGAGTCAGAGAGGAAGAGTCTCTTTTCTTTTTTTTTCTTTAGCTCTCGGCCACGTCTTTATCTCTGATGCTCTGTCCGCTTCATGCAGTCTTGGGGCAGCGTTTTCATTTTGCGAGCTGCATAAGCATGTTTCGACAGCTACGTGAGGGCGGGGGGTTGGGCGATCCTGAAGAACAGACACACCCGGTGGTTTCAGGGAGGGAGAAAATCCAGTTGCGAGGCAGGTTGTTCATGCTGGTGTTCATAATGTTTTCCATGAGCTCCATGCTCCCCACTTTAGTCACAGTGGGGAGGCGGGGTGGAAACGGAGGAGGTGGGGTACTGGGACTTGATACTGTAAACTCATGATAAAGCAGGTTGGTCAGGCTCCAGTATGAGCTGAGCGATTGCTTGTTGTTTGGAGATGTCTGTCCACGACAGTGAGATGTTGAAAGCCGCTTTCATTCTGGGCCAGTCACCTGAGAGACCAACTACTGCAGTTATGCATCTCCCCACTGAAAGCCATCATCCTCTGATTGATAAGCCCTTCTCATCATTATCATGATCATCATCGTCATCATCTGCACCGTCTTCCAGTCCTGGTCTCTCTCCATCACAAAGTAAACCCTTGTTTGGATTCAAAATGTCTGTTTATTTCCTCTCTGTTCAGATCAGAGAAGTCTCATAGCTCCTGAATTTTCCTTCAGAACTCAGACAAAAATAAATTATGAACGTTAAACTATCTATTGTACATTATCATTCAAAAGGGAATCCCTGCAATGGGTTGCCTGAATGCTGTGCTAGATGAGGGGTGGGGGTCATATGAGAGATTACATAGGACGTTGCTATAAGGAGCTTTGTTTACAATGTTTGTCCTCTTATTGCTGTATTTTCTGCAGAGCAGAGAGGGACATAATGGCCTCCAGGCAAAGAAGATGATGAGCCCTTTAGGCAGGTTCACCACGAGGAAGGAGCCCCGACTTTGTTGTTTCTAATAGTGGCATCGGAGCACTCGGCTTCTGACGAATCGCAGTCCGAGTCCCCAAACTGTAGCGGATTCTGAGAGACAAAAGGGAACAAACAGGGGAACATTAAGAAAGATCCAGCATCAGGGATGATTTGAGATGCGTTATGATCTCAAGAATGAGGTTTTGTGCAATGCAGTAAATAAAATAAACATAAGTTAATGTTTCTTATGACTCCAAACAAAAAGGGTTTGGATTCATTAGTTCCAACTTTAAATATGACAGGCTATTTGTGTTGCTGACATATCCACCCCTTTATGACCACAGTGGGTGGATGGTACAGATTTTCCGGCAGCACAACTGTGTTATGCTATCATGTGAATATGGACCAAAATCTCTGTGGAATGTTTCTAGTTTGTGCCACGAAGAACAGTTCTGAAGCCAAAAACGGGTCCAACCCCCGCTTCTTTCAAGGTGCATGTAAGATGTACCATAGTTTATAATAAGGTCAGTATGGACTGATTACACCCAAACAGCCCCTGTGACTCAAAAGCTCAGGCTGCAGACGGCTCTGCTCCTGCTTGTGCATGGGGAGCAGCTAAAACCACTTGTTTCAGGCAGAGGATGAACTGATGAGTTGCAGGGATTTTTTTTAAAACTGTGAATCATTCAAAGCTACTGTAGCAAAGTTCAAAGATAAAAATATAGAATTAGAAATGAGCACATTCGTTCCCTTGTAAATGAATAAATTAAATATCAAAGTAAAATGATTTAATGACCTACATACGAATACAGAGTGTGTTTATCAGTAGTGATAGAGCAAAGGCTTATTATTAATAAGTGATGCGCATAGTGTCACATTATTTCAGTCTATATGTAGAAGCCCAGCCCTTTAAACCATCTGAGAGCTTTTATGTGGCCACAGAAGTGCTTTCAGCTAAATGCTCATATCTGCATGCTAAACCCATTTTGGTAGTAATCCTTTAAACAGCCGCTCATGGTGGCGCTGGAGGAAATGTTAGGACACCATCAAAGTCAGAAGACCACATGGTCTGGACTCTTGTCCGTATCTGGACTGAAGCGGTGGATCTTACCACCCTTCGAGCTACATCTGCACGGAGATTCACGCAAACTGACCTCGTAGCTGTGTTCGTCGGAGCACAGCTTCCCCAACGAGATCTGCGTCTTCACCCTGCGGACGGCACACTCCTTGTCAGAGAGGCCGTCTGACTGGGTGGAGATGTCGATGGGGATGTCCGGCGTGTGGGACAGCAGCTCGTCCAGGTGTTCCTCCTGACTGGCGCTCAGCCTCTCCAGGGGTCCGCTGTGCGAGTGGTCACTGGTGTTTCCTTCCTCTCCGTCAGACACCGACAGGTTCTCTGAGCTGAAAGTAGAATAGGACTGGAAACTGCTCATACAGCGATGAGGTCTGTCAAGGAGAGAGGGGAGAAAAAATGAAAAGAAAACTTCCACATGGTTACTTCAGCAGTTTCCTTTGAAAACGGCTCCTAGTTGATCTGCTAAAGATCATTTTCTTTTGCTGCACACAATAAAAACCTATCTGCAAACTAAACGACCTTCTGTATTCACCTCTGTCTCCTTGGAAACTCCACTTCACTATCCACCTCTCCTTCTTCTTCTTCGGATGACTCATCACCACCCTGAAAAAGAAGCGGTAACAGCTTTTAATCCCACACAAGCACACGTTACATACTCATCGGTGTAAAGCCACCAGCTCTGCTCACCTTCCTGAGTGGCCTGAGAGTGCGGGGCAGTGCAGAGGGCAGTGTGTGCGCGTTCTGGGATGCATCCTGTTCCTGCGTCTCCGTCTTCTTTGTGGTCTCTCCATCTGAGACTGTGTCTTTGTTGTGCGCCCCCAGAGAAGACTGGGTGCCCTCTTGGGTGTTGAGCAGCGAGTAGTGCGGCAGCTCTGGGTGGCTTGATGGGGGAGGGGTCTCCTGACAGTGTAGGCAGCCGGGGAAGGGGTGAGCCTGGCAGCAGGGACATAAAGAACCAGCACCAGCGCCTGATGCAGGTTTGGAGCCGGTGGATGAAGTCCGCTGTCGCGTGTCTGCATCCACAGCGGTGGAAATGAGGTCAGGACTGGAGCCAGAAACACGGCGCTGCATGTGGTCAGTTTGAGGGCTACGGAGGGCGGCGGCGGGGCCGAAGTATCGCAGGTTGTTGGCACAGTTGACAACGGCCTCCTCGCGACCTTTCAAGGGGAGAAAGTTCCCCTCCGTTTGAGGAGGGTGGTGGTGGTGGTGGTGGTGATGATGGTGGATCAATTGCTCCTGGAGAGACTGGGTTTCTTCTGGTGCTCCAGCAATGGGCTTCAGCACAGCGGAGAACTCACTGTGGCTTCCTTTGCTGTTGGCGCGGCGGTGACGAGGCTTGCTTCGGTACCGGGCTTTGCCAGGAGGGGTGGAGACCTTCGGGCTAGCAGACAGCGGTGAGGGCGACGGAAGAGGGTCTACGCTAGGGATGCCATCAGAGCGAAGCAGGTCTGGCCTGGAAAATATGAATTGTATTCAATAGTTCAAGTATTTAAATGACACTCTGACCTGAGCTGCAATAAATCCCACATCTGCAGCTGAACCTACAGATACATGAACATGTGTAACTTTTAATTGAGATAATACATTTGAAAATCAGACCTTTTGGTGGGAGGCATCCCAGGTTTGTGGGAAATGCTTCCTTTCTTCTTGATGAGCTTCTCCACAGCGTTGGATCTAACGATCGGTCGGACTAAGTGGCGCTTGTAGCTGCCGGGATATTTCTTCTCCACCGCCTGCTCTCTCCTACGGTGATGCACAGAACTAGATTTAAGTCAGATCATGGGGGAAAAGCAGTCACACTGCACTTTAGTTAAACACAACATAGCAAACATTAATGGGAATGTAAAGCTACATCAAGGAATCTGCAATAATTTAAGAAACTCACTATTTATGTACATTACGCGTAAGTCAAAAAAAGCAGAGACTCATAGGAAAAATCTAAAAATATTGACGATACCATTCAGATCACTTTTGTCACTCTAGCTAGCTGAACATGCTTTCAGTTCTGTTGCAGTTTGTTACTGGAAATGTTGAAAGAGAGGAAATACGGGCACAATGAGAGCAGGATACTAGTAAGGCACAGATGTGACAAAAATGTTTATCTACATACTTCATCAGTTCCTTTTCTCGGACCTCCAGCTGCAGCATGATGGCACTGAGCTCCATGTAGAGGTTGTTGGCTCTCTCCAATTTCCTCTCGTAGTGCTCCCGGATGTCCAGTGCATGCCTGAGAACATGCATGAAATGCATCCAAATGTTCAACTCCAGTAACTTCTGCTTTATGTACAAATTAAAAACCATGTCTTCTATTAACAAGCCACATGTTTGCTCTCTTTTCCCACACACCTGAGTTCATCCCTCCTGCGTCGGATCAGCTCCTCGTCCAGCCTGTGGATGCAGGTGCCTTCACTTTTGATCTTCTCAAAATGCTTCTTCACCTCCTCCCTCCATTCTGCCTGTAATATGGATTTACACAGTCAACATGCAGCCAGAGCATTCACTGCACAAAGAACTACACTGCAAAAAGCACACAAAGTTAAGGTGTAGTCTTGCATTTCTCAGTATTGGTCCAGACCTGAGACTTAAAGTAGGTCTCCTGAGGAGTTCCCAGAACATCTGCAGAGGCGATGTCGAGATGTAGGAGAATCTGACGAAACGACGGCCTATTCCTGGGCTTTCCCTGCCTGGAGTTCATGAAAATCATGAAGGAAGATACACAGAGTATGTTTACGTTCTAGCAGTTATCATATTTTAAGTGATGTAGTAGAAAAGCTGTTTTTGCTCACCATGTCTGTTTCATGAGGATTTTAAACCCATCCGGGCACGTGGAGGGGACGGGAAGGTGGAGACTGTTGCTGCCGACACCCCAAATAATGGCGGAGGAGTCCACATCTTTGTAGGGAATCTCTCCAGTCAGTAGCTCCCATAACACAACTCCAAATGACCTGCAACACACGAGCAAAGATGGACAGGTTTCATTGCAGAAAGATGACTATTAAAGATGACACTTAAAATATCCTTTTCTATGATGTAGAAAAGCTAAACATTGCTTCATATTTCTCCATCTATTACTCACCAGATGTCTACTTTTTCAGACACAGGCTCATTTCTTATCACTTCTGGGGCCATCCAGGCCACCGTCCCCGCAAATGACATCTTTGTACTTTTATCACTGAGCTCTTTGGACGTGCCAAAGTCTGAGATTTTCACAGTGTCGTTGTGGGTCACCAAAACACTAAAAGATGCACAAAGAGAAAACACAGCAAGGTCAGTCTATTTTGTTAAGAGTAGTGTAAAAAAAAAAAAAGAAGGAGAAAAAAAAGGCAGACAAAGCCAAAATCGAAAGCAGGATGAGTTGGCCCGGGGTTAAAACATTCAGGCTGATGATGATGATGATAACGCAGAAGTTTTTACAGGGTAAGAGCTTTTCTTTCTTTAGCACTTAGAATCAGTTTTAAGCCAAAACGACTTCGCTGATAGAGAAGCATCTGAATCACCCCATTAGTCGAATGAGTCTGACCTTTCCAGCACATTCAGACTGCTATTATTCTGCTGACTAATACAGTGTGCGGCACTGCTGCAGCACGATGATATTGATTAGAGATGCAAGCGTGCAGCGGGGATGAGACAGAACAATCTGTCATACTCTTACATGAAGACGAGTAGCTTTTGTTAAATTTGAGAATGGTATTTGAGTTAATGTCAGACTATTCAGAGCAGAAAGGATGGATTGTGTGAACACAGCACCCATGATGCACCAGGAAAACTATGCATTTCATTCCCACAAAAAAAAGAGTAAATAACTTAAATTTGATTTAGGTCTACTACTGTGTTTTCTCAACACAAATGTATAAGATGCTCCTCCGTCAGAAAGTTAATCAGCTTCCTGCCCGACAAACTCACTTAGGAGACTTGAGGTCTCTGTGGATGATCTTGTGCAGGTGTAGGTAGTTCATGCCGCTGGCAATGCCTGTGGCCCAGTCCACCAGCAGTCTTGGGGTCACTTTCCTCCCCGCTCTCAGCACCTCATACAGCTGACCCTGGGCACAGTACTCCATGATAATGCAGTAACAAGGTGCCTGGGTGCACACACCCCTGACACAGAAAAAAAAGACAGAATACATGTTAAACACACCCAGATGAAACAAACGCGTCACGCACAAGGGCGAATGACTGTGGACTTACTTGAAGCTGATGATATTGGGATGCTTGAGCTTTCGCAGGTGTTTAATGTCCGTCTCCTTCTGCTCTCGCACCTTCTTGATAGCCACTTCCTCGGAGCGAAACTTGCCCAGGAAGACGGCACCCTGTGCTCCGCTGCCGAGCCACTGCAGCTCTGAAATCTCCTCGAAAGGAACCTCCCACATGTCTGTAATCAGGTTAGCAAGTTTTGTCAAAATGACCACAGCATCCTTGTACTTTGCAAAGTGTACATGATGAACTACATGTGTTCTTTAGCAACTTTTTTGTCAGTAATGTCAGTAATACTTGCTTTTCAGAACAATGTTTTATAGGCTTACAGCCCAAGGATAAGGATGTTTGTGTGTCTTTCATTTCTGTTTATATAAATGTGAAGCTACTCCTACAAGTTGTGAAGAAGTAAATACTTCATATTGGTTTATAGCAGTGGTGTCCAAACCCAGACCTTGAGGGCCAGTGTCCTGCAGGTTTTAGATGCGTCCTTGATCCATCACAGATGATTTAAATGGCTAAATTACCTCCTCAACACGTCTCGAAATTCTCCAGAGGCCTGGTAATGAACTAATCATTTGATTCAGGTGTGTAGACCCAGGGTGAGATCTAAAACCTGCAGGACACCGGCTCTCGTGGCCAAACCTGGTCCATAGGTTCAGATACCTATAGGTACTGTCTCCAAACAGTACATCACAGCAGCTGCTATCCTTCTGTCCCCTAACACTCATCTCCACCCTGCCTGTTCTCTCTATTTCACCCCTCTTGTGCATTGCCCGTCGCTTTGGATGGCTGACATCGGGTACTTAAACACATCCACCTTCACTACTGACTGCATCTTTCTGCTTGCCTCTTATTCACACACATTTTGTCTTCCAATATTTTTGTTAAACCCTTGAATTATAGCTGAAAGTCTGCACTTTGATCACAGCTTTCAAATCCACAGTGGTGTCAATGTCCACAAGTGACCACAAAAATACACCAGAAAGCACATATTTTATAGTTCTTACCAATATGTGTATAAATAAGCCTTTAGCTCCTATAAATGTCTTAGACCTTCAAATACTGAATCATGCTGTTTAAGTGGTTTTAGAAACAGAAGCTACGACCTCTAGCCCAGACTACAGCTAAGCAGCCACGAGATCCAGCCCAGTTCTGTCTGACCTCGACTCATATCCCGTAGCTCTCGTCCGTGCAGCGTGCAGCCCTGCGGCAAGGTGAGCCTACCTTTACCATGACCTCAATTCAAACTGACAGCTGTGCAGCTTCACTCGCAACAGCAAAGCGGCGAAGCCAGGACGGGCTATTCAATTACAGGTTCAGAATACATTAGGAGAAACAAGAGGGAATCTTTTGTTCGTTTCTCAGAAGTTTCACAGGTACGGGGACATCTGAATTAAACAAAAAGCATTTAGTGTGTTAAACTGATGCCAAACAGAAAGATAAAACCCAAAGTTTACCTTGCTGTTGTAGCTTGTATTCAGTAGAGTAGGTCTTCCCAATAATGTTCCACACAGGCCGAAGGCAGCCAAACAGCCCCTCTAAGAAGCCTCCCGACCCAGGAGGGGCTCTTTGAAAGTGCAGCTTGATGTCATCAGGGTGATGCGGGAGGTTCGGCTTGTCCTCTCCATTGTGGTCCATTGGACAGTCCCCCTCTCCCATATGGTCGTCCATGCCGCTGCCACATCCAACGTGCTCATGGGATGCCGGCGACCCAGCTTCCTCGTGGTCCTGCTCCTGCAGCTGGAGCACGCTGTTGTCAAAGTGTCCGCCTTCGCTCCGAGTTGAGTCCACGCTCAGGGCTGCGTTTGGTGGACTAGTCCCTCCCAACATGGACTCCTCATCCTGGCCAGGCGTCTGCAGCAGGGGAACGGGCAGGTGTGTCGGCGGAGCGAGGTCTGTGATGATCTGAGGAGGTAAGTTGGATAGAGGGGCCTGAGGAGGCTGCGGTTGGGAGTTAGGCGAGCTGGATTTCTTCATGCTGTCCCCAACCACAGTGAGTTTGAGCTCCTCCTTCAGCTTGCCCACCAGTAGACTGGGACAGGAAGTCCAAGAGAGCACCTCAGGGGAGCTGCCCATGGTGTCGTGCACGTGCATGGGCTGCCCAGTGACGATGAGTGGGACGTGTCCTAACACACTGGTTTGTCTAAATGCTGAAAATCACCTGAAGAGAAAAACAGAATGAGAAACTGTTAACTAGATTAAAAACTACAAAAACAGGAATGCAATTAAATACATTTACATAACTATAGTCACCTCAGATAAAACATAATTAAAGCTGTCTGCATGATAGGACCCTATTACGTCCTAAAACAGACATGAACACCTCTCATGTCCTCTATTAGATCTGCAGGGATTGACAGAGCATTAATGATTATTATTTTTAGCTACACAGTGCAAACACTGCAGGGTAAATGATGTTGGAAATATCAGAAAGACGTCAATTCAGTGCGGAAGAGACAACACTGCAGAATTAATACTAATAACTCATTTCTAGGAAACTTATAGGAAACAGTCGGCCGCAACCAATCACACACACCAACCGAAGCTTTTCTATTATCTCTCTGAAGCAGTAACACTATAGACGGGATTAAAGACTATGCTGTGTATTAGAAGTGCTGGGAGCAAGACATCTGGCACGAACAGCCCATTCTCATTCTTAAAGCCAACAAAGGCCCAGGCAGCCGTGAACATGGAGGGTCAGAAACCGACACAGAATCACCAGGTGAAGATCTTTACCATCCTAATGTGTCTGTGAGTCAGGAAGGGACACAGCATTTAAAAATAAACAACAAAAATATGCAAATCCTCTGTATGCACTTTTATATTTGGATTTTGATATTGTGACATATTTGGTAAATGCACTGGTGCTTTTATAAAGCTTTTCTACTCTATTTAAGCACTCAAAGCGCTTTCTTTCTGCAAGCCTCATTCACCCATTCATACAAGCACCCTTTTCTATGTCTAACTTTAAATAACCTGCTTGCTCTTTATAAAACTCTATAACTTTTATCCTAACATTTACAACTTGGGATTTGGTGTCTTGCTGAAGGCTATTTTGACATGCAGATTAGACCAGCCCTGCGAAAGATTAACGGCCTGTCCAGGGAGTACCCTGCCTCTCGCCCCATGACAGCTGGGATAAGCATGAACTGGATGGATGGATGGAAGGATGGATGACATAATTATAATTCTTTGTTAATTGAGGAAATAAAATACCAAATCACACTAACAATTTGCCTATTGCATCCACAAATATTACACAAATACGTCCACGTCCACTGATGGTGACGTGGCAAAAGCATAAAATCAAAATAATAATAATTTTTAAAAAGAAAACATTACAATTTTGTTGTGTTACATAACACTGGCTCACATGATCTGAAGGTTAAGGTTTGATAGTTTAATAACACTAATCAGGAAATAAAGCTGAAAGATCATCCAGCTGGTGAACCCTGAGTAGAGATCATTTCATCATGCATACCGATCCAAAGGTTAAGCACAAACATTCATGCTCAAGCACATTTTGCCTGATAACATCAGGCATAGTTAAAAATTACCAGCAATTTTGCAACGTGACAAACAAAACTATTTATTACGCAACAACAGAACCAAAACTATCAACATTATTCACCTTCTGCTACCAATTTTGCAACTTTTAAAAGGATCAGTCATTTCCTAACTGTGGGAAACTTCAGGCAATGACTAATTTGATCTAGAGTGCATTTACGGCAGTAGGATGAAATATAATAAAAACTACGTTTGGATAAAAACATAAAGTAGTAAAAAAAATTAACTCCTGGTTAATTATTCAGCAGCAATTTCTGAATATTTTTAATATTATACTAAAATCTCTGTGTGTTTGATTACTACTAATTGCTTCTCAAATATAATATTATTTGTAAGGAGAAAAAAAATGCTGAATCCTACCTGTGCTGAAGCCCTTTTTCCTGTAAGTGTACCTACATTCATGCTGTAGTAATTGGGTTTGTAGCCGCTCATTTATAGCAGGTCAGTGTACCTGGACTAGAGGTGTTCTGTACGCACAGTGCATTTTTCCAACACTGCCACCAGGAGTTGCCAAAGTCAAAACCGGTCAAATCCTCCAGGCCGAGGCTTTAATTTGTTGCAAGTGTGCTGCACGCTGTGTTTTCAGACAAACACATGGCCTTTTATCCACAGTCTGACTGTGTTTATCTACCCAAAAGGGGAAAAAAAGTGAATCAATCACTGTGTAAATGACACTTGAGCTTTTTCTCTTTTAAATCCACAAGGACAAAAATCCAATCATGCCTGAGCAAGCTGTAGAAAACAGAGGGTGTGGGAGACAGAGAGAGAGAGAGAGAGAAAGGGACATAGTGAGAAGCTGCACAGTGCGCACAGTCACAAAAGATCAAAGTCCAGGAGGGAGGAGACAGAGAGGCAGAGAAGCGCCCTGGCTCTGTGTTACGTGGAAGGAGGACAGTCGTATAGTCCAACTGAAGCCAGCGTGGTTTATGTTGCTCTCTGCAGCACGGTCGTAGAGCTCCTCCACTTGGCACGGGTCAAAGTACAAACAAGCCCTGATTACTCGGCTGCAGATAAGTTCTCTGCAGACAAAGCTGCAACAGACCGCCTGGAGTCCCGACTTCAAACTTAGTTTTAATCCCACATTTTTTCCAAGCTTCTGTTCAATGCTTTTTGCAAGTGTTCGCCAAAAGCATGTACTGTATCCGTGTATCTACTGGACGGGTAACATGAGTGGTGTGAGTGTGGGGCGGCTGCCAGGAGCTCATCTATAATGCAGGCCTGTCTCTAAGCAGGCTGCTGAGAGTGCAGGGGAAGGAGAGAATGCTCTCTCAGGTATCCAATAAATCCGTCCCTTCCAAAGCAGAGACAAACGAGCTGTACGAGCAAAGGCCCATCCTGTAATTCCACCTCACAAACGGCTCTCAGAGCTGGGCTTCTGACGTGGGCTTGCTGTGGGTGGATATGGCTGACTGGACAGAAACATGCACAGGAAGACCGAAAAATTAACACCTTTTTACTTTTTTGTTTTTAACTAAATCTCTTTCCAAACAACAAGAATCTTTAGTGCCTTTATTCTACAAATCCAGCACCAAGAACAGGAAATGGACCTCTTGCTCTTTTCCATTAATCTCTAATGGAAGATCTCTATGGGCGTAGAATCCCATGAATAATGTCTGTGCTGCGGGTTTCATTTCCACAGGCATTTATTTACAGGACTTTCCGAAAGAGATCGTGACTGAGTAAAAGGACAAACCGACGGAGTGTTTGCACGAACTCGGTGCTGCTTCACAGAAGTACACAACCCACTTATTTAGCAGAATGAGTAAAAGAAAGAAAGAAAGGGAGGAAGAGAGGGAGAAATTATCAGAGGTTGATCCTTTAATCCCTCTACAGGGCTCTAGAGACATGCTTGTCCAAACACAGACCCTATTCGGTCCTCCCCCTCAATTTATCCTCCACATAATTCCTTTCATTTCTTGCCTCTCTAAAGGTGACCTAAAGCCTAACAGATCATGACATGTACATGCATAGTATATAGATACAACCTTAAAAGAGCAGAGCAGCACTGCCGGATAAAAAGCTCACTGCAATTGGTTATTGTAACGCTTCATATCCGAGTGCATACAACAGCTGGTGGTGCAGGGGGATCAGGTTCAGGGAGCACACATGCTCACACACACAAACACGCATACACAGACAGACGCACACATGCCCGGGGCGTGTCTGGCGAGATCCAATAATCCCACTACTCCCAGCAATTCACAGGGGAATGCAGTTTTTATTGTATCACTCAGCAAACGCCAGTATGGTTGTTTAGATCCTGCTTCAACACTCTGTGCCAGCAGGACGTTCAGCGATACTTTGAGCGTAAACGCACGTACACAGTCCACCCGCAAAACGCAGCATTGCGGGCGGCATCTGCGTCTCTGTGCTCCTCATTAAGAGAAGCCCTGCTGGGACCCATAGAGGGAACCTCCCTTCAGGTGACAGCTGCGACCCCCTGACAAAGAACCAATTTAGCCCCTATCCCACCACATCATTCACACGTTACCATGTCAACACAGCATCCGTCCTGACCTTCTGCTTCCAGTCGCACTCAATCTCATCCAACACTTGGAGAGGCTACAAGCGTGAAGGCTGTTGTTGTAACATGTGCTACCGTGTCTTGGACACAGAATGATATCTAGATCTGGATTTGGGTTTTTAGAATATCAAGATAATGTCACTCAAGCCTTTTTTTGTTTACATTTTATACATATTAGCAAAGATGTGAACTGAAATAGCAACAAATCCTCTAAAAACATTCCAGGATACAGATACAGACGTGGATCAGCATCAAAAGTCAATCACGTCCAACTTTAGCCTAAACTCACCTCCGTTAAAACCTGCGCAATCCCGCTAACAAGCAGACAAAATGAACCAATCGCGTCAACTCGTCCACAGAGGTCACGAGGACGAGGAAAACCAAATCATTCCACTGATCAGTTCTTCAGCTTCCTTTTGAACAATAAGATGTCAGAAGAGAAGTAAACATCTCACTTGATGAGATACTGGAGGTTCAACACCTGCCCTACAAACAAAATCAAATCGCACACTAAAGCACACATGCCCGCAGCACAATGAGGCACAGCCTTTCACATCCGGTCATTCCTGAGAGCTCATTTCTGGGAGGAAAGATAAATACCTGCAACAACAGAGCACTTTCATGCCTCCCACTTCCCTCTTGTCTTGAAACAAACATGAGTGAGAGACAGATGGTGAGCGCAGCGCTCGTTTTCCCTGAGCATGTGCTCGTCTTGGTTATTCTGGGTCATAATTGAACAGCTGACCTCTGATGTCAGTACTTGTTTCTCTCCTCGGTGCACTCTATGGACCTTTGCGGCCTCTGCTTATCTAGTGACTAAGCAATGGTGTGAAATTTGTAAACATGCTGCTCATATATTTCCATAAATTCCTCAGAAATGTGAGCTGCCCGGTCCTGATTTGATAGTCGGGGATGTGGTCCGACGTGTAAATCAGCTTTCACTTGCTACCAAGGCCATGAGTCCTGCCAGAGGGGATTGGATAGGCTGCCGTAGGTGGGTGAAAGTAATAATCTGCTGGTGTGGGGAAGAGCTGTGGAAGGGAGAAATAAACAAATCTGGCACAGCGCTCAGGCATCTGCCGTCACACGGCTGACATTTCCCACTAATACTCTTTTTTCATATTCTGATTCCCTCTGCTGACTCACCTAGGTGGACTTAAAATACCTGTTATTGGCCGAAGGCGAAAGCGGGTCACAGAACAATAATCCCTGCCCGTTTACCTGCCTGCTCAGGGTCTGACTGGCGTTGCTGGTCGAATAGGAACAAGGTCGAAGCTGCCGCTAGAAGCCACAGGGAAAGTGCCAGGTGGGATCATGTGCAATTGGGTTTGTTGTGAAGACTGGTTTGAGTCAGGTGGAGGAGGAGGAGGGGGGGGGAGGTTAGGTGCATGAATGAAAGTGGCAACGAAGAGGCAATGAGTAGGAGGGATGGAAGAGTGAGTAAAAACAAACCCGAAGAGTGTGCTGTCAGCATTCAAACACTCCAGATGACCAACAGAATGAGCACGACTGTGAATCATTAGCACTCCAAACACACACACACACACACACACACACACACACACACAACTTGTGTCTCAAATAGCCTCATCTGGTACAGGCCAGGATCGGAGAAAATAAATAACTGAAGAAAAGCTTGTGCGCCATCGACACGTCACACACTCTCCCTCCAGCCTCTTGGCAAGGCTGCAGACAGCACTGCAACCAGGACACAATGCCTAAAAATCTGCAACTATCTGGCATATGCTCCTCTGCAAAACTCTCAAGGCTTCAATACGAGCCTTTCTAGTCAAGCAGACTCTCTGCTCCCAGTGATGCTTAGCAATAAAAGCTCTACAGAGGTCTATTTATGAATACTAACCACACTCCCACACACACACACATCCAGATAGCTGATGAATTCGAACAGACAGAGAGGGATGGTGAGGCCAAGGAGACAGTGGAGGGAGAGACTGGCTCAGAGAAATGTAGATAAAGGGGGGAAAAAGCAGATTAAGAAGGCAAAAGGGACCAAAGGAGCTGTGAATGAGGCAGATAAAAAGGAGGGTGGACTGCAGAATGAGTGAAATCAGAGGAAAAATTAAGACGAAACAGAAAAACAGCCGTTTTGCTGTTTTCCGTGGCTGCTCGCGGCGCGAAACTGTACCGACCACGCTCCAGTGGGAAAGGCTCCCAGAGCGACAACAAAGGACACAAGAGGAGCCGGCTCCATGTGAACCGGGCCTGTCTGCCCTGCACGACCAGGAGACAGCGGCACGCACGCACACACACATACACACAATACTGCACAACAGGGCAGCTGCTGCCACAACAATTCCCCTTGTGCTCTTTTAATAGGGACGGCCTGCCTGGCCCGACAACAAGGAGAGAGACAGACACACAAACAGTGACACAACAGACAAACATGCATATTGCAGGAGCCTGCCTGTGACTGACACCGTTATAATGGCTGAAATATGAAAATACACAAAGCCCCAGCTAAAAAAAGAAAAGAAAAGGAAAGAAAAGAAAAGTGGGGCAAGAGACTCTAAGGGGACCAAGTGGGTGTTGTACTACATGTTCTTCCTTCTGCTCAAAAACAGCCTCTCTAGCACAGCAGAAAGCCCAGAAAATCAATACACATTAGTGCTCCTGTTATCTCCTGGCTTCATGCTTTCCCTGCTTGCTCTTAAAAACACAGCATGCATGTAAATCTAAGCAGTGAACCTCCAATCAGCAAAGTCAGACACTCTGGAGAAAACCCCTCATAAACATGAATATCCAGCTTTTTATTTTTTATTTTTTAATGCTCTCTTGCAAAAGGACGGATGGATGTACGTACGCTGGAGTCGTCCCCTCCTCCACCTCCTCTCCTCTAAAGCCTGGCTGCTGGCTACTCATCTTGTGTAGTTACATAAACATGCTTAGTAGCAGAGGACAGAGGTGGGCACACACAGAGCTCCCCGGCTGCCAAGTAAATACAGAGGTTCATGTAAAGAGCTGCATGAAAGTCGAACATGGCGAAGCGGGCACAGGGACGTTAAATATGCGAGAGTTAAGAATAAGAAGCAGTGAAAGGAAAGTCAGTGTGGTTTGGAATGACCGTGACTGTACACAAAACACATGTGGCCCAGATAAGTCAGACTGAGGGGGAGTTATTTATCTATTTATTTATTATTATTATTATTTATTGCATTTGCTGGCAAAAATAAAGCAGGTGAGGGCGGGTCTGTTGCCCTCTACCTTTACCTACATCCCACCTGTCCTTCAGAGGGCACAGAGAAGCACTGCATCAAAAAAAAAAAAAAGAAAGAAAAAACCCAAAACCCAGCAGCGGCGTCACTGCTGAGCCTAAAATAGCTCCAGCACGCACCAACGCACGACCGCTCAACACACTCCTGCAGCACTGCTACTGAACAAATACTGACATGTGCTCTATACACACAGACAGACTCCCTGCAGATGTGCGATGTGCAAAAGAGACAAATCATACCCATAAGCATGAGAAGGACAAGTACCTCCACATTACAGTGCTTCCACTCAGATGAACGGCAAAAGGCATAGCATCAGCAGATTACTCACAGCAGACACGGCTCAGATTCATGGTCCTCTCTCAGCTAAGGCAGGGATGTGTGGAGGGGGGAAAAAGCCGGGCGAGAGGAAGACCGAACTGACAGTCGGGATTCAGAAGAAAGGAAAAAAAAGAAAAGAAAAGAACAGGAGTGAAGGAGAAGGCAGAGGATGGAAGATGACAGACATTCCTCTAACTCCTGCAGCACCTGGGCTGTGAGTGGGAGGGCGGCATAGTCACCGGGACAATGAAGACCTGCTCACGTCACACTTTTCATGAATGGAGCCGTCTGACGCAGGGAGGACGCAGCTCAAAGAGCAGAGGAGATGGAGGGGTAGGGGGGGGCGGAAAGGGCGGAGCTTGTTGCACAGACTCAGAAAGGAGGAGGTGCAAACGGAGATGAAGAGGAAAGCAGAGGAAGAGAGATGGAGGAGGAGGAGGGCGTGCATTTCAAAGCAGCACCAGCTGGGAACAGAAGGTTAGGCTGCGGTGGCGTCTCCGTAAGCAGGACAAACTGTTTCGGCACAGGAGAAAATCCTTTTGTACCAAATCAGTTCTTTCACGCCAATTGTGTCAAAATCACAAATGTCTGCAGGCTGGATCCAGTGAGGACTATCCATTTGTCATGAAATACTGCCCCCCAACCCCCTCAAAAATAAAAATTGGGACAAAATATCTTGCTTTGCAATCACGTCCGGTGGAAATTAATCCCTCTGCAGCGCCAGTGTCAAATAACAACACATGTTCTTATTTTTCAGGCTTTTAAATAGCACGAAGGGTTTGCTAACGGTCACAATTAGCACAGCAGCAGAACATTTATAAGCTGAAAGTCAGAACCAAATAAATGAGTTAATCTAACTAAACTGAAGTCAAGATGAAATAATCTCTAACAAAAAAGTGTTTTTAAAGAAATTAGGGACAACCTTAAACACACTTCAGCAGTGTGTTTCATTAAATGTGCAATTTCTCCATTATAAAGTATTTTTACTGTTTAAATGGTAAGTTTCCCCCCAGTCTTTCTGTGTTTATACGAACATGGAGTAGAAAAGATCCCTGGGATTATTGAGAAATATCAGCAGAGTAGCATCACAGCTGAGCAGGGAGCAGTGCGGATTAAAAGCAATGTCTTTATATGAATATCTAGCAATAAAACAGAACTTTAAGAAACACACATCAATATCAATCCACTCATATATTCAGACAAGATGCCTATAAACCCTATTTACCCCCACAGGTGAGCAGCTGGAAGAGCCACACTTCTATCTGTACTCTCCAAGCAGACTTTCCTTCTCTCTTTGGCCTCAGATAAAGGAAGAGGTGATCAGTGTTGATGAATGAGATTTAGCTGAAAGCACAGAAGTATAATTTTTCTTTCAACACAAAATAATAACTTGTGAATAACCCTGATTAATATCTTCCACACAGATCCGACGGCCAGGCTTGCTCCACTTCCTCAGTCACCTTCTAGAAGCCATCACTGGAAAGCAGCACTTCAAAATATCAGGAAAACTCAGTAAAGAACAGTAAAGACACTGAATGAGGACATTACAGTGTACCAATACCGCCTCTGTGATTTTCTCCTACAAAATTACAGTTAAATGATGTCACATCCCATTCATTACACACATACACAGCTGCACTATGAACACATAAAACCACGCAAGCAGTCAGAAATGTTCCTGTAAACTGTGGTCATGTGACTTCAGTTATCGAATCATTATGACCATTATAACTAGCACGGGGTGTAAATGCTCTGCACTGCTGCTCTTTCTCTATATTACATAATAACTGTTCCAGTGCAGTTTAACTTCAGGTTTCTGCACAGGAGGCTTTATGCATGCTCTCCTCATTTACATAAAACACCTAAATCTACAGCTGAAATTATTAGAAAATGTATCAATTAGTTATTCTACAGGCAATAAAAATGCAAAAAAATTAATGAGTATCTACATATACTCAGGTAAACAAGATGGGGGGAAAAAAAGTCCACTCAAAGAACTCAGGGCACAGTTTCATACCAAACTCCTTACTGCAAAGGCCAGGCAATTACCTGCGTGTCACTCACCCTCTCTCTCCTATCCACTCTACACTTCCCTAAGTAACAAAGGCCCAAAATGCTCAAAAATGTAATAATAAAAGTAATAAAAATAATAATCTTACAGCAGTAGGGGTTTAATAGCTTCAGGGCTGAAAAACTACGATAGTCAGAGAGAAAATAAAAAGGTCAGAACGTCAGAAGAATTGTTCTTTTCTCTCACCAAAAGGTCATCTAACGTCTCACACAGTCTCTGACACCCTCCCCTCAGTGGGCACCATCAATTCGGCCATTATACTGGTCAGCACATGCTTGTGACTTAGCATGTGTGTGAGTGTGTTCATTTACTGACCTGTCAGGTGGTTTCTGACCATCTCAGAGGTCTGCAGAGCGGGAACTGGATTCAGCTTCTCACCTGCAGCATAAACACACACAGAGCGGTGAAAACGGGGTTCGTGCGAGCAACATGTTCCACTTTAAAGGCTTAAAAAAGGACAATGCACTGCAAGCATGATGCGCAACTGCAACATTTCCACAGTGACATTAATAAATCAACTCAACGGATGAGTCACCAGATGAGAACGGCACCCGCGTTTCCCCAGACTGCTGAGGGAAGGAGGTGCAACTAGGGCAAAGACAAGTAGCGGTGGTGTATCTGTCTGTCTGCACTACACTGTGTTTGTGAGTTTGTGTGTGAGGAAACGGCACAGACTGACACTGACTGCAGCCAGAGGGAGTACATCAAAAAAGACTGATAGAGAGGGAGGCCTGCGGGTGAAAGGAAAAGCTCGGGGAACAGATGATCCCCCGAGTGCTCTTGTTTCAGGCCAAAACCTCTGGGGAAGAGGATGCTGGGGAAGGGCAGCAGGAATGTAATGATGCATTGAGAGTGGGGGGGTGGGGGTTGGGATATTGGAGCCGCATTGTCCAATCTCTTTCATAAAGCCACACCCCAGCAGGGGTCCCTGCCAGAGGAGGCAGCCTGGTATCCTGGGGCAAATAGAGGCAGAGGCGTCCAAACACTGCCTATAAATGGCGTGAAATGACAGTGAAATGAGTCACGGTGCAGATGGCTGTGGATGTAAGCTCTGACATTAGGGAACGGTAAGTGTGTACTGCTGGATTTGTCAAAACTGCACTTTTGTGATGCACGGTTTAATAAGTGATATGTCAAGCAGTCAGCCCGCCCCCGACGGGAGAGAGAAAGTGAAAGGTATTCTTGCTTTGCTGGTAAAGATACACAAAACACAGCAGGGGCTTTCCCAAAAAATAAAGAGTTCTGGTTAAATATTGACAAAAAGGGACTTTCAAGTATCAACGGGGAGCTGGAATAAAATTTTGGCTCTGTTTGTTTAGCGGGGACAACAAACTCTGCTCTAAAGCTAAAACTGAATTACAAAAACATGCCAGAAAGACCCCGAAACAGTAACCCACACTTTTGGAGCTTTATAATAAATACAGTTATAAAGTCATTGCATGATTACAGCCATTAAAAGCCTCTGTGTCTGTTTGAGCAGTGATATGTTCCCGTAGATTTATTGAGACATAAATTCAAATTGCTCTGTGGTGTATTTAAGGACACCACAAAGCAGCACAAAAACTTAAAACACTGTGAGTCAAGGCTAAAATCAGACCTTGCCTTTACATTTAAAATAATTGTCTCATTTAATTTCCTCCATCGAACTTTGCTAATAAGTCTTGAATTCATTTTAATGTTAACGTTTAATGTTAATGTTCCTCAAACTGAAACTTTTGGTTCAGGTTTTCTCCTGAAATGCTCACGCTTTTCATCTCAGCAATGCATGAAGCACAAATAAAAAGGTTACAATGATAAAGTCATTCAAAAAAATTCAACAAGTACAAGACTGCACCATGTAGATCAAAGCAATGCACAGTACTTTACCAAGGTTCAACATAAATTTTACTCCTAACACAACTTTGTTTGACCGTTTGCAGTGCCGGTCAAAGGTTTGGACACTCTCAGTGATGCTGGAGTATTTCTTAGCCTTTCATTACATTGACTTGCATTGAATAATCACAGCAACAACAACAACAACAACAACTGAGTTCTTCAGTGACTACAGCAAGTTTAGCTTTCTTCACCAGCTCAACTTGCAGTAGGTCAGTGAAGTGTAACATGAAACTGTGCCTTCTTCCATATCATCTGCACCTAGCTTATTTTTCTAATAACTGTTTGGGATAAATCATCAACAGCCAAGTGAGAGGAAAACTGAAGCACAAATTCACCTTTAAAGACACCCAGGTCAATGTGGGGCACCTCGAATGCTTACAAACTTTAATCCTCAGCAGTGGCAATGTGCAGAGTCTGCAGTGGCTGTAGGACAGACCTGACCTCCCTAAGGGGGCCCCACCTGGCTCCATTCACTCCTGTTGCAAGCAGCTTACATGATTCTGTTTAAACAAACCTCATGACAACAATGCAACCCACTCAATGGAAACAAAGAGGAGTTATCCTTCTGATAGCAAACAAAGGAGGGAAAAAGGAGAAAGACAACCAGACAGCAGTAAATGGAGAAAATAATAATGATTAATTATAATGCTAACTAACGTAACCGTGGAGATCAACTTCCACTAACATCACAAATTGTTAAAGCTTTTATTTACACACATAATGCCTTCAGTATGAATCTGAAACGAAAAAAACAAGTTCAAAATCCATCAATCCATTCATTCATTCCTTCCACTTATCCTTTAGCCTTTTCTTCTCACATTCACTCCTGCATTCATACCTAGGGCTGTGCGATATGACCAAAATCTCATATTCCGATATAAAACATAGATCGTCCGATAACGATATAAATCACAAAAAATTTAATATTTTCTGTAAATTCTGTGAATCTCGGGTAGGTGCACTGTTTCCAGCTGGGCGTCGTGTACCTGGGGTCGAGTGTTTTAACCGATGCATGAAACTACTTTTTAGACATAGGTTGTAACGGCCGCAGTTTTCTTTGTATTTATTACATGGCGTGCTGCGGGGAAAGCCTGTTCTAACGTTTGAGTCTAAGGTTTATTGTTTAGCACCTGACGACTCTTTTTTTTGCTTCTCATCCGTCAATACTCTGCATACTTTTTCACGTGATTCCGTTTATTTTGAAAATTCTCAACAGGATCTTGAGCTTTATTGAGAAAGGTTTATGTGGAAAATAAACAAGCGGACAGGCGATGGTTTTACCGTCATTGTTGCTAATGACAACCCATAAAAACAGGCGCTTGTCCGTCCTTAGTGTGGTTATACTAAATATAAGAGAAAGAGAGAACTTTAACAAATTAATATAGCCACTACAGTGACCATCAAA